TCTAACACAGTTAAATTAGCCCTATAAATAAACCAGGCATTCTCTTTTCTTCTTGTTTTGTTGTTACCTTACAGAAAAAAAAGTTTCATATCATAATTAATGCTTAGGGACACAGACTTCAGAGCCAATAAAATTTTGGTCCAAATCCCAGTGCTGCCTCCTACTAGCTGTGAGATATTGGGCCAGTTTCTTAACCATACTAAGGCTATTTCCTCATCTATAAAACGGAGAAAATGGATGTTGCAAAGATTGAGAGAATATATGTATTATGGGTTTGTGTCCCCCTAAATTAATATATTAAAGCCCTAACTCCCAGTATCTCAGAATGTGACTGTATTTGGAGATAGGGCCCTTAAAGAGGTAATTAAAATGAGGCCATTGGGGTGGGCCCTAATCCAGTCTGACTGGGGTCCTTATAAGAGGAAATTTGGACACAAAAATAGACATCAGGGATGTGCACACACAGAGGGAAGACTGAGGACACAAGAAAGTGGCCATCTACAAGGCAAGGAGTGAGGCCTCAGAAGAAACAAATCCTGTCCACACCTTAATCTCAGTCTTCTATTCGTCATAACTTTGAAAAAATAAATTTCTGTACCCAGTTTGTGGTACTTCATTAAAGCAGTCCTATCTAATTAATACAGCATGTAAAGGATTTAAAACAGTTTCTGGAAAATGGCAGGTAATCAGTAACTCTTACTACTATTTTAACTATTTTCCCAGGGCTCCTCTAATATTCAATTCCAAAAATCACATATGTAATTTAATCTTTAAATATTCAATTTATGGCTAAGTAGCAAAAGACAAAGAATTTGTTTGGACAGGCAGTCCACTATGGGCTCTGAGCATCCCTGCACAGTCTTGCCAGGTATTGCCCTTTCTTTTTCTAGGCCATTTCTAAGAGTTGTGTTTGCAGGGAGAAATCTTACGGAATGATGTAATATCTTCCTCCTGACAAAAAATAGGCTTGCTTGTGCTTACTATAACAGTAGTGACTCATCCAAGCTTGGTGGTCCTCTCCTGTACCACAACCCACTATGTGTGTAGACATTCATTATGGGCTCTTTGTGTTATACAGTGAGATTTGGGAAGCAAATGGGACTGACACAAATCAACATGAAGCTCTGGATACTATAAAGTCCTTTGTTTCTGACCCATGAGTCTCATGTCTTCTGCCAGCATTCCATGAAATTTTAACAGGCTAATTTGTTAGCATGTGTCTAGTTCATTTTGCACTGCTATAATAGAATACTACAGACTGGGTATTTTATAGGAAACAGAAATTTATCTTCCACTGTTCTGGAGCCTGGGAAGTCCAAGATCAAGGGTTTTGATGAGGGTCTAGTCTTTGCTTCCAAGATGGTGCCTCGGATGCTTCATTCTCTGGAGAGGGAGAACACTGTGTCTTCACATGGCAGAAGGCAGAAAGACAAAAACAGACAAACACTGAATCCCCCCATGGCAGAAGAGGGTGAACCCACTTCTGGAAGCTCTTTCTATAGCGGCATTAATCTATTCATAAGGGTGGAGCCTTCATGACCTAAACACCTCCCATTAAGCCCCACCTCTCAATCCTGTTGCATTGGGAATTAAAAAATTCCCCACACACAAATTTTGGGGGAACACATTCAGACCAAAACATCTTGTAAGTAGGGTAAAATCTCAGACATTGCACAGTTCTTGACAATTTTGGCTAACAGAGCCATGGCTTTCTGATGTTAAAATAACTCTAATTATCCTGAGTTCCTACACAAACAAACTGAACCCCAAATCAGGGTGAAAGGCCCTAGCCTAGGAAAATGAAACTTCAGCATAATCTATCAGAAATTGACAACTAAGTTCTAACTAGGGACTTTAGAAATTGCCAGTAAACCTCTAACTAGGGAATTTAAAGCTACTGCTCCACCTTAACCTGACAAATATTTTCTTTGTCTTGCTTCCATGAACACATTATAAAAGTTTTCCCCGGGCATCCCTTCATTGGAGCCCAAACTGCCTGCAGTCTGGAGTTGTTCCATTCACAAATCACTACCTGCTCAAATAAACTCTAAAAGTTAGTGTATCTAAGTTTTAATACTGGAAAACAGGAAGGCCTCGGTGGCTAGATTAGGAGATATGAGAACACTCTCTGGGATTCAGTAGTGAATGCTTTCATCCAAGAGTGGGAAAAGAAGAGGGGAGTAGGCTTCCCTCTTACCTGTTAATGAACGTTTAGAGGCTAAACAGTGAGGTAGGATTAAAAAAAGCCACCCAAATGGTGTCTTGGTTGTTGCTCACACACTTCAGGGTGGGAGGCAGAAGACATTGACATGACAATGAAGCAGCATTCTCCAGGGCCCTAGAAAACAGGAAATTTGGCTGTGGCTGATAAGTCAAGGAGTCCACAAAGCTGAAACAAATGGTATCAGCAATAAGAAAATAAAACTTTGACTAGATTAAAAATACAAGTTTGTTGAGGCTGAGTTGGGCAATCAATCAAAACTGAAAGTACAGGCCTGTGTTGCTTAACCAAGGGGATACATTCTGAGAAATGCATCATGAGGTGATTTCACTGTTGTGTAAACATCAGAGAGTGTACTTACACAAACCAAGATGGTACAGCCTACTACATACCTAGGCTATATGGTATAGCCTATTGATCCTAGGCTACAAACCTGCACAGCATGTTACTGTACAGAATAACAGAGGCAACTGTAACACAATGTTAAGTATTTGTGTGTCTAAACATACCTAAACACAGAAAAGGTACAGTAAAAATATGGTATTACAATCTTATGGGACCACCATATATATATGTGGTCCACAGTTGACCAAAATGTCATCATACAACATAGGTTTCAGCTGCATGGGTTCACTTACACATTAATATTTTTCTGCTTCTGCCACCTAAGACAACAAGAACAGCCCCTCTTCTTTTCTCCTCTTCAGCCTACTCAACATGAAGATGATGATGAGGATGACCTTTATGATGATCCACTTCCATTTAATGGTGTTATTTTCTCTTCCTTGTGATGTTGATGACATTTTCTTTTTTTTCTAACTTACTTTATTGTAAGAATAAAGTATGTAATACATACACAAAATATGTGTTATTGGTAAGGCTTATGGTTAACAGTTAAGCTATTAGTAAAGTTTTGGGAGAGTCAAAAGTTATATGCAGGCTGGGCGTGGTGGCATACACCTGTAATCCCAGCACTTTGGGAAGCCAAGGCAGGCGGATTGCCTGAGCTCAGTTTGAGACTACCCTGGGCAACATGGTGAAACCCCGTCTCTACTAAAATACAAAAAATTAGCCGGGTGTGGCAGCAGGTGCCTGTAGTCCCAGCTACTTGGGAGGCTGAGGTAGGAGAACTGCCTGAACCCAGAAGGCAAGGTTACAGTGAGCCAAGATTATGCCACTGCACTCCAGCCTGGGTGACAGAGGGAGGCTCTGTCTCCAAAAAAACAAAAATGTTATATGCAGATTTTTGATTGTGCAGGGGGTTGTCATCCCTGTCCCCTGCATTGTTCAAAGGTCAACCGCAGATGATGTTCTAGTGGTTGAAATCAGAAGCCACTTCCAACAGCTTTGACTGTGGTGTTTTCATACCTCTACCAGTAGGAATGGCTGGTAAACCCAGACAAAATTTAGGGCCCTGTTTGACCAGTCATTTTTCAGACTGGAGAGATTTATAGCACTCAATCCCTTTGGCAATAAAACAAATAAATGCTGTCTCTTTGGCCTTACCAGCAAAAAGGAGGCTCAACACTTTTTACTAAGACTCTATCAGTATAGGAGACAATATATGATGCCATCAATGGCAGCTCCCAGATGTGAACATGTAGAAACACAGGGACTAGCACAATCTTGTTTCATTCTGACTGATCTTACGCTTCTCTAAATTTGTCTTGAGTGGCCTTGGATTATACCATGTATAGCAACTGAGGCTGCAACTACTCGGTAACACTACTTATGTGACTGAAATCCATATATGATGATTTAAATCAGGTTTGACAATAATTCTGAACTAGAGTAACCTGGACCCTTTGGGGTTATGTACTTGTATGCGGGGAAAATAAGCCATAGAAGGGCTCTCTATAGGGAACAGGGTCTGTTTTTTGGCCCAGCTATTGCACCCATAATTATTGGCAATAACACCACATATCAGCAGGTCAGTCAAAGCTCTCTTTATTGGGTCATAATGTATAATAAATTGGTCCTTCACTACCTTCAGGCTGCCTAATAAAAAGATCTATTGATCCTCCCTTGGAACTTACAGTTGACTGAGTCAAGACCTTGGGGGACAGGACTGAGGTTAATACTGCAGATTGGCTTCATCCTGCTGTTGTGTCTGATAACAGCCTTCATTAATTGCTATATGAGACCAAATGAACAAATTTGGTAATGAATAAACAACCTGTCAGGTTAATCAGAGTAGCTGATGGAGTGGCATACTGATGTGAAAATTCAAGTTTGGCCAATAACATGTCGGGCTGAGGAGCAGATTGTTGGAAGAGACTATCCACTATGGGCTCTGAGTGTCCTTGCATACTTACTGGGTATGCCAAGAATGCAAGGACTTTATCTTTACCTAGTCCATGTCCCAGGCTTGTGTTTACACTAAGCAATCTCAAAGTATGGGGTAATAACTCCCTTTGGACAAAGACCAGGATGTTTTTTGCTTACTACAAAAGCAGTTAATATCCCAAGCTCAGTCTTTCTGTCTTACAATATAACCCACTGTGTGCAGGCTTTCATCATGGGCCCTTTGTGTTCCTCCTGTGGGAACTAGAAAAATAAGGAACTGAATAAAACCAACATGAAGCTCTGGTTACAGCTTTTGCTGTGAATAATAGTCCTTTGTTTCTGACCCAGGTGTCTTGTGCTTTCTGTAGTATCCCATGAAACAGTAACAGACTAACTTGTTAGCTTATAAATAGGGCAAAATCTCAGACCATGCACAGTTATTGACAGACATCAACTATTTTCTTCTTGGCAATAGCTGGCATTTTAGGCACCATGACTTGGCTAGCAATACATTTATTATTAGCATGACATATTATGAAAAATTATTTTCCAAAGACTTAGCCAATAACACTACAAAAACAAAAAGCCCGTTAATTCCTGTGAATTTATCTGTGTGTGTCCATGTCCAGTAATTATTTCACTGTCTGTCTGAAGCACTAACAATACTAAATCCAGTGCTCGGCGCCACGCCTCAATCTTTGGTGTAACAACGTCATAAACTCTTGGAATCTGCTCCAATTTATTTGAAATGTCTGAATTTAAAATTCTACTATTTAGTTGACTATACTCATTCAAGATGTAAGATGAAGGAGAGCCAGAGTCTGTGGCATTTTGCAGATGATGCTGAATGTATGTGCTGGCTTCAAATTCTGACGAGTAATGGGCAGTATTATATAGGAGAGTTGAAAGGTATTTCTGCCATCCATTTGCCAGGAATTTAAGCACAGTTGGTCTGTATATTGCCAGAGATGAAGCCAGCCAAGAGGAAGTATTATGGAGCCACCCTGAGCAGGCATGGTTCTCTTTTTTCAGAGATTGCTCCGCAAGAATTTGAAGACAGCTAAGACACAAAAATTCAACTGCACCACCTCCAAGGAAGACCTTTTCCTCTTTTAGAGCATAATACAAACGATAGGCACATGTCCAGAACCTATCTTCTTTGGTTTGCATCTGTGCAGTAACTGGGTTAGTGAGCACAGCTGTAACCAAATTAATTCCTTCTGTTTTTAATAAGATTGCGATTCTGTTGTTCCCATCTACAACATCCAAGGGACTGCTTCTCCAGAAGGTCACACAGACCCCATTGCCCACACAATCTTCATTCACTTGTGTAATGTAGGCCACCTGTACTGCTCCTGCAGCTTCTGCAAAAGCCTGCATCACACTGCCATTCACTGAGCCAATTACCAACTGCTTACTGTTTAAAAATTTTTCAATTAAGCATTCAGACACATTTCCTTGTACCAGGACAAGGTTCACATTGAACTGGATTAACACCTGTAATACGTGATTTGCCCACAGTTCCTCTGAGCTGTCTTCTTGAAGCTCCATGCTAGTTAATGCTGTTTTAATATTTACAGACTTATTAAATCCTAGGTGGCGATAATTCTCTGTGAGGTCACCCTCAATGAGAACTACTCGGAGAGGCTGATTCTGCAATTCCTTGATCACAGGAGTATTAGATACTGACACAACAGTGATGTATCCTGGACAAACACAAGAAGAAGTTTCAGGTAAACCTGGTAGACAGCAAGTACAAATTCTCGAAATGTCAAACATAAATGGTTTTATACAGTTGCCTTGTTGCACACAAGCATTCTGATATTGCAACTGTACTGCTTCTTCTACTAACTTCATGCTGCTGTGATCTCCGTGACTCAAGCCTACTGCCAACTCTACCAAATCGTTACATCTGTAAGTTTTGAGAGTAGCTGTAACATGTTCTTGAAATCCATCTGGTTTGCTTACCCATTCAGTATTATCTGTCCCATTAAAATGCCTACTGTGGATTAGTATTGACTTTCTGCAGCAGGTATCGGCAAGCAGGCTGTTTTTCAGAGTTCGTGATGTGTTCTTATCTGCTTCAACCTTAGCCTGAGGTTTAAAGAATTCAGATGATTTAAGAAGTCTCCCAGAAAGATTGGAAATGGTCAATGTTTGAGAGGCAACATCTCTGAGACCATGCTCTTCCTCTATCAAATCAGTATCTGAAGGGACCTGTAGAAAAGGACACAAACTTACACTAAATGTTTCAAGTTGAGGAAATGTTTTTGTGCTGTCCATACAGTCAAATATATTGTGAACAGGTACTTGAAGAGAAACTACTTCTTCACTACAAAACTTTAAGCCTTCTGACATTACTGACACTATTACAGAAATGGGGACGCCAAGATGAAGACATTCTTCAACTGCACTGCTCCAAGCACCAACAAGAAACAAAAGAGTACTGGTTCCAGTTCTATATGTGTTATTTTGTGCTTGAACTGCTTCATTGAGAAGCTGTCCCACTGCACTGCTTAAATCCAAACTTTCAAGAAGCCTTACTGTTGAACTGATTAATACACTTTCATGACATTCTTCATCTATAATAAATTTGGATGATTTTAGTGGGCCTAGGAAAGTTCTTCCTGTTTCCGCGAATGATGAAAGTTGTTGAAGTCCCATGTGTCTTCTTTTGTTTATGACTCTGCAAGCCATCACCATGTATCATGATCTGCAAAGAAAATAAAAACTTGGAACTTCACTCAGTTTTTATTATATAGAAATAAAAATAAAATATGCTTCCTGCTTTTGAGGTACATATAATTTCCATTAAAAAAGGGTCAGTGCAATGATATAGTATTATTATTCTATTAATGATAAAGGTATGGGGGAATGGAAGAGAAGCACTCCATCCAACAGAGGAAATGAAGCATGAGGGCCATAGGCAATGTTTCCAGAAGAAAGCAATTCTTGGAATGAGTCTTGAAAAATAACTGGAAAGAGTTACAAGTTGAAGGAGGCAGTAGTAAATGCACATATATGTGAAAAAACATAGTGTATTAGGGGAAATAGAAGTAGCCTGGTTTTATGAGAATATAAAAAATGTAGTGGAGTGGCTGGGCGCGGTGGCTCATGCCTGTAATCCCAGCACTTTGGGAGGCCTAGGCGGGTGGATTACAAGGTCAGAGGTTCCAGACTAGCCTGGCCAATATGGTGAAACCTTGTCTCTACTAAAAATACAAAAATCAGCCGGGCGTGGTGGCACGGGCCTGTTGTCCCAGCTACTTGTGGGGCTGAGGCAGAAGAATCACTTGAACCCAGGAGGTGGAGGTTGCAGTGAGCCGAGATGGTGCGATTGCACTCCAGCCTGGGCAGCAGAGTGAGACTCGGTCTCAGAAAAGAAACAAAATAAAACAAAAAAAACACGTAGTGGAGAACAGTAGGAGATGAAGCTCTAGAAGACGAAAGGAGTTGGTTTATGAAGGGCATTATGTGCCAGAGCAAGGAGCTTAAACTTGATCCTGTAATGGGAACCATTAAAAAAATTTTTTTTTTTTTTTTTTTTTTTTTAGACGGAGTCTTGCTCTGTCACCCAGGCTGGAGTGCAGTGGCCGGATCTCAGCTCACTGCAAGCTCCTCCTCTCTGGTTTATGCCATTCTCCTGCCTCAGCCTCCCGAGTAGCTGGGACTACAGGTGCCCGCCACCTCGCCCGGCTAGTTTTTTGTATTTTTTAGTAGAGACGGGGTTTCACCGTGTTAGCCAGGATGGTCTCGATCTCCTAACCTCGTGATCTGCCCGTCTCGGCCTCCCAAAGTGGTGGGATTACAGGCTTGAGCCACCGTGCCCGGCCTAAATGTTTTTAATAAAAAAGATCACGAAACAACTTGATGTAGTGTTTGAAAACATGTACTCTAAACCTAGAAGTCTGGGTGTAAACTTAATCTTACTGCTTACTAGCTATATAGCCTTCAGCATGTTATGTACTTTATCCCTTAGTTTCCATATCTAAAAAATAGGGATAATAATAGAAGCTATTTCATAGAGTCATTATAAGGAGTGAATATAGTACTTAGAACAATATCTGGCACCGTGTTTTATGAGTTCTTGTTTTAATAACAATAATAATTGTAATGTTTTGGATATATTACCACTGATAACACTGTAGAGGACTGACTAGACAAGTACCAGACTGGAGGTAAAGAGGCCAATTAAGAATCTTCCATAGTTATCTAGGCGAGAAATATGGAAGAGGGATGGAGGGAAGGGGATGGATTTGGTTACTGAATAGATTATAAAAAAAAAGATATACTACTTAAAGGGAGGTTCAAGAGCAATTGTACTTCATCTGCATATTTCAGAATTCACATACAAAGTGAACAGAAAGTTACAAGAAAGACTTTAGCCCAATAAAAAGAATTCTCAACAAGGTACTCCTTAATTGAAAAGCTGTCTATTAATAAAATAACTTGCCTTGTGAGGTGTGAGCTCCCTGTTACTTAAAAGTGCTGGAGCTAAGGAGCTAAGATTATAGATGATAATCTATAGTAAAATTTTCTTTTCTAACTCTAAAACTTGATGATTCTTGGGGTAATATGTATCTTTTAAATGTCAAATATTAAACAGCAAACAACTCTTAGACTTTTGCTTTTCCTCTAGTACTGGCCACATCACTGGTAATTTGTTTCTATAATACCTAAATTAATCCTTGAAGCTGAAGAGTAGCATAGTTCAAGATCTATCTTAAGGTCAACAGCAGGCCATAACAGGATACAGGTTGAGCATCACAAATCTGAAAATCCCAAATCTAAAATGCTCCAAAATCTGAAACTTTTTGAGCACTGACATGACACCCAAAGGAAATGTTCATCGGGGCATTTCAGATTTCAGATTTTTGAATTTGGAATATTCAACTGGTGTGATGGTTAACATTAAGTATCAACTGCAGACTGAAGGATGCAAAGTATTGTTTCTGGGTGTGTCTGTGAGGGTGTTGCCAGAGGAGATTAACATTGAGTCAGCGGACTGGGAGAGGAAGACCCACACTCAGTATGGGTGGGCACCATCCAATCTGCTACCAGCATGGCTAGAAAATGCAGGTGGAAGAAGGTGGAATACGCTGGCTTACTGAGTCTTCCAGTCTTTATCTTTCTCCCGTGCTGGATGCTTCCTGCCCTTGAACATCAGACTCCAGGTTACACCAGGTTACTCCTGGACTTACACCAGTGGTTTGCCAGAAGGTCTTCAGCCACACATTGAAGGCTGCACTGTCAGCTGCCCTACTTTTGAGGCTTTGGGACTCAGATTGAGCCACTACTGGCTTTCTTGCTTCTCAGGTTGCAGACGGCATATCACAGGACTTCACCTTGTGATTATGTGAGTTAATTCTCCTTAATAAACTCCCTTTCATATACACATATATCCTATTAGTTCTATCCTATTAGAGAACCCTAATACAACTGGTAAATAAATAATGCAAATATTCCAAAATCTGAAAAAATAAAAAATCTGAAACACTTCTGGTCCCACACATTTCAGATAAGATATATGCAACCTGTATTCCTCAAGATTAGCTTCCAATAGGCTTTTAAGGACTAAGGAAGAAAACTAGTACTGCCTAGGACAACGAATAATGAATTATGTGAATTAAGTTTCAAATCCTCTTTTGTGAAATTTTCAATTCTGTAGAATAAAAATTCATAATATACTCAGGCATATCTCTACACAGCATCAAAATGGAGCATCAGGCCAGGCACAGTGGCTCACACCTGTAATCCCAGCACTTTGGGAGGCCAAGGCAGGCAGATCACTTGAGGTCAGGAGTTCAAGACCAGCCTTGCCAACATGGCAAAGCCCCATCTCTACTAAAAATACAAAAATTAGCTGAGTGTGGTGGTGCATGCCTGTAATCCCAGCTACTCAGGAGGCTGAGACATGAGAATCACTTGAACCTGGGAGGCGAAGGTTGCAGTGAGCTGAGTGAGGTTGCCCACTACACTCCAGTCTGGGTGACAGAGCAAGACTCCATCTCCAAAACAAAACAAAAAACACAAAACAAAATGCAGCATCAAAATATACTTTAGGACTCTAACTTCAACAATCCTGAGACCCATTATGTCTTCCAGCTAACATCTTATCATGTTTGGTTGCCCTTCCTTCACCTCTAACCCCCATATTATCAATTCCCTATTTACCTGGTTTAAATTCCATTTGTTAATTATTGCAATCACTCCATTGCACATATAACATGCCCTCAAATTCCTTGCTCCTCTTTCTTTTCATCTTACTCACCTTGCAAAGCTACTAATCTTGATGAAATTCAACCTTGTCTACTCCATGCTTGCCCTGGTGCAGCTGAAAATAAACAGAAAAACACAACCATGCTCATTAGTGGCATTTTAAGTTCATGGACCTCAAACCTCAAGTGCCCCTTAATACTGCCTAGCAACCTATTTCCCTAGTCCATGTATCTTTAAATTTTTTTTTATAAGATTGCTTTCTGTGATCTATTTAAGAAAGTTTTACCTACTCCTAAGCAGAATATTTATTCTTCTATATTTCTTCTAAAAGCTTTATGGTTGTAGTCTTTAACTGAAGTGAAACTCATTTAACATAAAGGTAACCATTTTAAACTGTACAATTCAGTGGCATCTAGTACACTCACAATGTTACACAACTACCACCTCTATTTACCTCCAAAACATTTTGATCTCCCAAAAAGAAAACTCTATTAGCCATTAAGCAGTCACTCCCTGTTTCCTTCTCCCCCAGATACTGACAACCACCAATCCTCTGTCTCTATGATTTACCTGTTCTGGATATTTATAGAAATGGAATCATATAATATGTGACCTTTGGGTCTTTCATTCAGCATGTTTTTGAGGTTCATCCATGTTGTAGTATTAGTACTTCATTTTTATGGCTGTAGTTATGTATCACATTTTGCTTATCTGTTCACCCATTGATGGACATTTGAATTGTTTCCACTTTTCAGCTATTGTGAGGAGTGCTTCTATGAACATGTGTATATAAGTATGTGCTTGAGCGCTCATTTCCAATTCTTTTGGTTATATACCTAGGAGTGGAATTGCTGGGTCATGTGGTAATTCTTTAACTTTTTTTTTTTTTTTAAGAAATATTTCATTTTATTTTACTCTTTCAGGCATGAGTATTCCAAGGAAATGCAAGCTCATGAAATTTAGAAATAATACCAAATGTGAATAAGACCAGCTTTAGAGGTTGCACGGCATCAGCTGAGTATGATTGTCTGGAATCATTTTTGGCCTTCTCAGTTTGCCAAGACAGGTGTACCATTTGGTCATGTAACAATTTCTGTGGTAACTTTCCAGGTTGAAGACAGTTGTCATAGAATGGTGATGCCCAAACAACTGAAATGGTCATAGTACACAAAGGAAAACATTACCAGGTGATAAAGACTATTTGTTTATTATGAGACTAAATGGTAAACCAGAGTATATCCCATTATATATTATAGCACTACAAACATTCCTAGTCATTCCTTCATTTCATTCATTCATTCATGCATTCAGTGAGTACTTCTTAAGCACCTACAGCGTACCAGAAAGCACTGTGTTAACTGCTGGGATTACAAAGACAAAGATTATACACACTCTGCCCTCAAGGAGTTCCCAATCTAATTGTGCAGAGAGATATGGAAATGAAGCATAAAAATTCATCGTAAGGAGTGCTGAGAACAAAAGTCTGTTCAAAGCAAGACACAACCATGGATTATTCCACCACAGGTTCAATGGGAAAAGTATGTGGCATTTCTCCTCCTCTTCAGAATAATGAATGCTTGACATAGCTTTTGTCACTGTCTTCTAGTTCCAGTGTTACAAGGGAGATCCCCAGTATTACAATGAGTCACAGCGAACCTAGAAATGATTAGCATTCTTTTTATTTTTATTTTTTAGACAGGGTCTTGCTCTGTCACCTAGACTGGAGTGCAGCGGCATGGCTCACTGCAGCCTCGACCTCCTGGGCTTGGGTGATTCTCCCACCTCAGCCTCCCAAGTAACTGGGACTACAAGCGCATGCCACCGCACCCAGCTAATTTTTGTATTTTTTTTTTTTTGTAGAGATGGGATTTTGCCATGCTGCTCAGTCTGGTCTCGAAGTCCGAGGCTCAAGTGATCCTCCTGCCTAGGCCTCCCAAAGTGCCGGGATTACAAGTGTGAGCCACCACACCCAGCCAGCATTCTTAATGTTTACTTACAAAGGTATTTCTCTGTCAAAGTCTTCATTCACTTAAAGAAAACCATTTATGATGCATCTTAAAGAAAGCATGCTCACATTTGCCTTTTATTGCCAGATTTCTCTACTTGGCCTTATAAGGCCCAAATGGTAGGGGCAGGTCAGGAGCGGGGACATGGGGTGTGTTCTAATAATATATGCTAAACACGTAGGGGAGACAGCTTGTCATTGAAGATGTGCCTGACTGCCACTGAGCTTCGCCCCTATACTCACCCAACAAATAATGAGGAGCTACCACTAACTCCCCACATCCCCATGCTCTCCAAAGCTGTCTACATGGGCTGCTCTGTCCTTGGTATGTGCCCTTGAGGGCTGATCCCACTTGGCCACACAAAGGTTTATGCTCTAGGGTCTTTGAAAGAGAGATTCCTGCTCTTCAACTTTCAAGCCTAAGCCTTAACGTTTCAAGGGCTGCTTCTTCCTCTGAAATAACTTGTTTTCACTGGTCATTCATGATTTGGGTGAAAAGGCGGAGTCTCTCATTCTTGGTTGCTTAATGCAAAAGGCCTGACTCATATTTCCTATAGTGTTGTGGGACATCCAGCCACAGGCATGAAAAAGAGGAGCAAATATCTTTAACTTTTGAATGAACTGTCAGTTTTCCATAATAGCTGAACATTCCCACCAGCAATGTATGAGGGTTTTGATTTCTCCACATCCTCACTGCATCAGCTTCCTAGGGCTGCCATTCCAAATTACCACAAACAACTGGGTAGCTTAAAACAATACATATTTATCCTTTCACAGTTCTGGAGTCTACAAGCCCAAAATCAAAATGTTGGCAGGGCCATACTCCTGAAGGATCAAGGGAAGAATCTTTCCTTGCTTCCTCCAGGTTCTAGTTGCTCCTAGTGGTCCTGGGCTTCTGACTGCATAACTCTAACCTCTGCCTCTGTTTCATACGGACTTCTTATAACCCAGTGATACCAGTCATTGCATTTAGGGCCCACCTTAATCTAGTATGACCTCACTTTACCTAATTACATCTAAAAAGAACCTATTTCCAAATAAGATCACATTCTGAGATGCTAGAAGGACATGAATTGGGGGTAGCATGAGGGGGAAATAATCAGCCCAGTATACTCAACACTTGTCATTTTTGCTTTTGTAATATTTTGTAATATTATAGATATCCTAGTGAATGTGAAGTGGTATCTCACTGTGTTTTTGACTTGCATTTCCCTCATATTGAGCATCTTTTCATGTGAATTGGTCATTTATGTATCTTTTTTGGAGAAATGTCTGTTCAAGTCTTTTGACCATTTAAAAACAGAGCAGTTAGTCTTTTGTTGGTAAGTTGTAAGAGTTACTTATACATTCTGGACACTAGATCCTTATCAAACTATGATTTGCAAATATTTTCTCTCATTCTGTAAGTTAGTTTCCACTCTTTGGATTACGTATTTTGATGACCAAAAGTTTTTAGTTAGAAATTAGTAATCCAGGCCAGGCGCGGTGGCTCACGCCTGTAATCCCAGCACTTTGGGAGGCTGAGGTGGCAGATCACAAGATCAGGAGATCGAGACCATCCTGGCTAACACGGTGAAACCCTGTCTCCACTAAAAATACAAAAAAAATTATCCGGGTGTGGTGGCAGGCACCTGTAGTCCCAGCTACTCAAGAGGCTGAGGCAGGAGAATGGCATGAACCTGGGAGGTGGAGCTTGCAGTGAGCCGAGATCGTGCATTCCAGCCTGGGTGACAGAGGGAGACTCTGTCTCAAAAAAAAAAAAAAAAGAAAGAAAGAGAGAAAAAGAAATTAGAAATCTAATTTACCTATTTTTGTTGTTGTTGTTTGATGAAATCTAATTTACCTATTTTTTTGTTTGCTCATCTTCTTTGTGTCATATCTAAAAATCCATTGCCAAATCCAAGGTTATGAAGATTTATCCCAATGTTTTCTTCAATGAATTTTATAGTTTCATCTCTCATATTTAGTTTTTTGACCCATTTTGAGTTAATTTACATATAAAGTATAAGGTAGGAGTCCAACTTTATTCTTTTGCATGTGGATATCCAATTGTCCCAGTACCATTTGCTGAAGAGACAATTCTTTTCCCCATGGAGTGGTCTTAGCATCTTTGTCAAAAATCAATTGGCCGTAGATGTCTATGGATTTCTGGACTCTCAATTCAATTCCACTGTTCAATACATTCATCCTTATGCCAGTACCACACGTTTTAATTACTATAGCTTTGTAGTAAGTTTTGAAATCAGGAAGCATGAGATGCCAAATATGTTATTCCCTTTGTTTCAGCTTTAATATTTATGTTAATAAGTAATCTAACTTTGTAAATGGTGTGAGGTAGGGGTTCTTCTTTCCTCATGGATATCCAGTTGCTCCAAAATAATTTGCTGAAAGGACGAGCTTGAAAAGTTTGACTTTTGGGTTTTGTTTTTCATTTCGAACATGTTATGAAAGCTTACTAAGTATGAGGCATTTTACAAGTATTATGTAATGTAGTATTCACAACATGAGGGAGGTACTATAATCTATTTTAGTGATGTGGAAAATGAGGCAGAATAGTTACATAACATATACAAAATTTCACAGCTAATTTGTAAAAGGCTATGGACTAAAACCCAGGTTTGCCTAATGTCAAAGCCTATGCTATTAACTACTATATAATTCTGCCTTTTAGCTGCCCCTCACCCAGCATGATAGTAATTCACCTCTGTTCTTTAGAATCTTTTACTGAGTTTCCCTCTTCCAAACCTTTCTGCCTTCTTGCAAGCCTTATTCATACTCTTAACTTGTACATGTATCAGAGTCTCTGCTTATGATTTCCTTTCTATACTATGCTTAAATCACAAGATATTACTATGAGTAGAAAAGTCAGAGAGAACTTAGAGCAAATGGAAAAAGTCATGGGCTATTTCAAATTTAATCTGTATTTAATTTATGTGAAAAAGTTTCCTAGATACAAAAGGCATGAAATTATTTAAACAAAACTAATGTATAAGCAAAAAATCACATAAACCTTATATCAAAATCAATGTTCAAGATAAATCTGCCTTGGCATTTGAAAAAGCTATTCCAAGTTTTAGTAATTTTTTTAAAAAGTCTTAGTATTCTCAACTTTAGAAGAGCTCCTAAATTATTATTTTGAATAGGTTACAGTTGGCTATAATTAACATAAAATAAAAACTCAAAACACAAATGCCCCATCCTCTAAGAGATTGGGTATAAAAAGGCAAAAACAGCAAAGGGGATAACAAAGTGGATAATTTTAAAGATGATAAGTACTCCTGGCAACTCTTCTTGGCATTGCACAGACATAATCTGCTTCTTGTCCTGCTATGCATGTCCTGTTACGCACCAATGTTTTCCATAAACAGTTCTCTGTTTTCACTACTTGCCAGCTTAATGTTTCTTTGACTTTCTAAGTGTGTAATGGAAGAGCAGAGTCGTGTAATGGAAGAGCAGAGTCAGACAACTTAACTGGAATTTTGACATAAGAAGTTTTCTTTTCCAAAGATTATGTCCAGTTTGTCTAAGGTACTCAGTTTAGAGTAATAAGACATGCAATGCTTTCAGGAGCTGCATTTTGAAAAATAACAATATTTTCTTGATGGGCATGACTAGCCTTTTCTTCATCTAAATCAACTGTTTGCTCATCTCCAGTCTATTCCCAATACAGAAGTCTAACCATGTTACTCTACTGTTTAAAAACCTCTAACTCAGAAAATAAAGCTTTATGCCTTTGACACAGGAGTTCCTTTTAGAAATGAACTCGTATCCTTTCACTCCTAGGCTCAAAATCTTGCAAGGCCTACCCATTTCACTTGGAGTCAAAGTCAAAGTCCTTACAATGCCCTAATTTTCTGCAGTCCTTTCTTTACCCTTCCGACTTTATCACTTACTATTTTATCCCTTGGCCACTTTGTTCTGGCCTCCTTTTTGTAATGCTTTGCATGTTTCCTATCTCAATACTTCTGTTTTAGTTGTTCCCTCTTTCTGGAATGCTCTTCCCTAAGAAATCTATTGTCACATCACCTTCAAATATTTTCTCAAATTTTCTGCTTTTCAATGAGGCCTACCCTGAGCACCCTACAGAATACCACAAATCCTCTTTTCCCTCTGTACTCTGGATTTCTTCCATCTGTTCTACTTTCTTTTTTCCATAACACTTATTCCCTTATAAAATAGGATATCATTTACTTATTTTTTTTTTTTTTTACAGACTATATCTCTCTCGGAATATAATTTCCAGGAAGGCAATTTCAGTCAATGACGTATATCCCGAGTACCTACAATATTGCCTGACACACAGCAAGTACTCTATAAATATTTGGTAAGTGAATGAATTTTTTTCACCATATTTGTTACCCCAAATTTAAGAACAAAACTGAAGCAAGAGAAAACAGATGGCACTTTTAGTATTTCTCCAACATGAATATAAGTTTTAACCATCCTTGGAGTTGACCTGATTCCTATTTGGCACCGCCTTAGTTGAGGCCCTTTAATTGCTTCCAATGAGAGTTCCTCCTTCATATGGTGGTCAGAATTAGCACTGAAAAAGCACAAACCTAAACAAATTACTCCACTGCCAAAAAACATCTATTTATCTTAAAAAAGAAAGTCTTTACTCCTTGGCTTGATATATGTGCCTTATAATCTAACCTCAACCTAATTTATGACTCCTCTCCCACCTTTCTTTATAAACCTCATGATCTTGTCACACTAGAACATATCATTTATTTTCACTAAGCGATACTGAGTTGAATATTCTATATTTTCTTCATCTCCATGAATGCTATAGATCTTTCATGACCCAAGGCAAATGCCTCATTTCCTATCAGCCTTCTCTAATGCCCTGGGGTAGAGTTGTCCCTCCTTTCTGAGCTCCCAAGGTACTTTCTATACCCATCTACTAAAGCAGATTAAAAATACCCTGTATTAAAAACATTGTATTATGTTTGTGTCTAGCTCCCCCACTAATCTGTAGATTCCTTAGTTATTCATCTTTTATATTCTACTTTTATTTCTTTTGAACTCACCCAGTAGTTGGCATAGTGCATGACATATAGAAAGCATTAAATACATTTGGGAGATTTAAGATTGCCTATGTGTTTAATGTTTTCCTGGATAACAATAATGTTCTAAAGTGCAGTTAGATTAGTTAATAGCTATTTTTCGAAACTAATTACATCCTACTCAAGATCTGGGAATTGGAATCTGAGCCTACAATTAAAAAAAAATTTTAACTAGTAGTAAATATTCCAAATATAAAAGCCTAAATCATAGCGTGATATAAAAATAGGTTAATATACTACCCAGCCTTTTAATTGTCATTAGATCAAACATGATCCAAGAGATCCTAGAAATTAGGATTGGGTTGAGTATATACTTGGTCACTATTCACTTCTGGGTCTAAGAAATCCCTTTAATAGTAGTATTAAAAATGAAATATATGGCCGGGAGCAATGGTTCACGCCTATAATCCCAGCACTTTGGGAGGCCGAGGCGAGCGGATCATGAGGTCAGGAGATCGAGACCATCCTGGCTAACACGGTGAAACTCCGTCTCTACTAAAAATACAAAAAATTAGCCGGGCGTCGTGGCGGGTGCCTGTAGTCCCACCTTTTCGGGAGGATGAGGCAGGAGAATGGCAAGAACGCGGGAGGTGGAACTTGCAGTGAGCCGGGATCTCGCCACAGAACTCCAGCCTGGGCGACAGAGGGAGACTCTGTCTCAAAAAAAAAAAAAGTATATGACCTTGAAACTGATCAAGAGCAACTTTCCAAGTGAGATAAATGATGTGAAAAATCATATATTAAAGTGACATTTTACTTAACTCAAAAATTATCTTGAATTTACGCCATTTTAATTTTCACTGGGTAATTTCATATTGGAAAAATCACCTGCAATATGAGGATAACCTTACCTATTTTCCAGAAACCTAATGAGATTTTTATCAATGATTACAATACTTGCGTGTCTGTCTGGAATATAATATGAACAAGACAGGCTGATGGTTTTGGAAAATGTACCATGTTTCTACTTACTAAAGCATGAAAAGTGATTTGACAGAGTGCTTCAAGAATGCACTTTGCACTTGTTTTCCTCTCCTACCTTCAGGAAGATAAGTGAGACAAAAAAAACAACAACAAAAAACTAACGTTAGAATTCTTCCTGAATCCATTTTTGAAGAATCCAGTATAATTTTTAGAAAATATTTACTCTAGAGAAGGCATTGTAGGAGGCATAAAAGGGGCCCGCATATGTGAGCAATTAAAAGTTAGAAGTTCTAAGATTCTCTCATTTCTTCATTCCCACCAGGAAGTCAGTGGTCCACCCTACCTCACTCTTTCTCCCCTGTCCTTTAAGCTGATTCCTGGCCAAATTCAGAATGGACAGAAGCAGTAAATCTGGCCCTCTGGACAAGAGATTGAGTTGGTTTACAAAAGTTTCACGAGTATCTAAGTCTAGGCCGTTACTGAATCAACTGGATAATCAGACTACCCGTGTCTGACTCTGAAGTGCAGATCAAGCTGACATTGTTGACAACTGGCTAGATCTTAGGTCTGGGCCAAGGAAATGGCTGGGGGCGTGTGTGTGTGTGTGTGTGTGTGTGTGTGTGTGTGTGTGTGTGTGTTGGGGTTGGGGGGCGGGGTCCAATAGTAATTATGGGTGGGGCCAAAGTCCTACCTTGGCTGGGGGCGTGTGTGTGTGTGTGTGTGTGTGTGTGTGTGTGTGTGTGTTGGGGTTGGGGGGCGGGGTCCAATAGTAATTATGGGTGGGGCCAAAGTCCTACCTTGTAAACAAATGCTACACGAAACATACGTAAAAACGTTTATCTATGTATGTAGTGAAGCTTTAAACACATCCCAAGACCCATGCTTATCCCCATACCCACGTCCCTCCAACGACACTGTTGCCCTATGCCACTGCTATACAGAAATTTTGGTGTCTACCATGCCAGAATCCCTGCCCAAAACAGGGAGGAGGTAAATGGCTGAAGGCCAAGCTCCAGGCACTGTGGAAAATGAGGAAAGTCTAGCGGCAAAAAGAAAGGGCAGTCCCCTCTTCCTCAAGTACTCCTAGCCACATGCTGGACCCATTCACCCCAGGCCCTCCAGGCCCTAGATTCTCATCCTTTCCCTGGCCCGAAGAGGACAGAAAAATCAAACACAACGGCTCCCACGTCTTCAGGAAAGACTTAGCTCAGCAGTCAGCGGAAGCACCTCACTAACCTCGCTCCTTTCTCCTGTCCTGCGGGAGGCTGGAGTTCCCGGCTTCCCACCGGCCACACGCGATTCTGGCTGGGACAGCAACACCAAAAACGCCAGGGTTAGGGCGCCCCCTTCCCCGTCCGCAGTTTGCGCATGTGCGAAGAGGGGCTTCTGGTGGAGCCGGGGGTTAGTTGCTAAGAAACACAGTTGGATAGAAAAGTTCCGCTTAACGCCGGACTGCGAAAGGCGGGAACGTCACTCTATTGGTAGAGAGTAGAGAGAAAGGGCTGGTTTAAAGGCCTTCTTTTCTGTCCATTGGATGGACTGGACATCAATCATTCAGGCTGGGTGGGCGGGGCTGAGAGAGGTCGGTGAGAGCGGCCTTAGCAACCGCTTGTGAGCTGTAAAGACTTGGGTTGGGCGGGGCTGTCGGAGGTGACGCCGGGAGGTCCCGGCTGAGAGTGCCGGCTGGGGACATGGTGAGTGTGAAGCTGTAACCTTGTGCTAGGGCCGGAGCTGAAGTTTTTCCCCCAGAGCAAGGAAGGCTGCCCCTGGCAGCAACTGCATCCCTTCCTTACTCCTGTTGAGATTCATTCTATAGTAGGAAATAGGTACTTTAATAGTTTGTCATCAATTATTCTGGTTCTGCTAACTATTCCAGTTATGTAATTTTTCTTTCACCCATATGTGTGTGTATTACAGACATCTAACTACCATACAAGTTCAGATCAATGGAAGAAAAGAGCAGCAAAAATTGAACGGAATGAATTCCAAAAGCAAGAAATTAAAGATGCTTTTAATTTATTTGATGTCGATAGGTCTGGAACCATCGATGTAAAAGAAGGTTCTGAAATTATTTCTAATGCTAAATCATTTTTAAAACCGTATTATTTGTGGCAATCTTTAAGGCTTTCTTTAACAGTAGTCTTCTGAAAGCTTGATATAGAGTCTCTTCAGTGCATATGGTTGCCCTGCGTTAACAAAACAATATCTTGTTAAGCATTTTAATTGTGCTTTATAAATGAGTAGCAAAAGCCAGGGTGTAACAGTGATGTATCTGATGGCACAGTAGGATTGGAACACAGGCCTGCTGACCTAGTTTTCTATGTTTATGCTCAGTCCGTAATAGAAAAGATAGAAGCTCTTAATAGGGCGTTAAAAAGCTTAAAATAAAATCATGGCATGTTATAATTTATTTTCTTCCTATTTCAGATTGCAATGTGGGCCTTAGGATTTGAACCAAAGGAAGAAGAAATTTTAAGAATGATAGCTGAAATTGATAAAGAAGGAATTGGTACCGTTAGTTTTGAAGATTTTTTTGCCATTATGAGTATAAAAATGATATAGTTGTGATTTTATTTTTCGAAGAAATACTAGCAATAACCTGCTACATTTTAGGGCTGCAGCAATCAGAGGTTTCATAGAGAAAGAATTGGAACTAGGTTTTTAAGGATGGGAGATAGGAAGAGCAAGATTAAATATGATTTCAGGGTAGTAATGAGAAGACTATGATGTGGAGAAGAGTTTTCTGTCAGGAAGTAATGAGGCTATATTGCAGGATAGAGAGAATGGGGCCAGAATTTGAAAGCCTTGAATTCAGCAAACATGTATTGAGTGCCTGTTTTTGCCAGGCACTATTCTAAGGAGCATTGAAAGAGACAACCTTCCTGTTTTGAAGCTTACATTTTTGATAAAGGATCTGAATTACTAGGTTTAATAAGAGATGCATTCTCTACCACCCTGGGCCTCCTCCACTTCAGCAAGCTCTACATTTAAGCACCTTGAGGGCAGATGTGAGTACATAATTGTTAAAAGACCAATAAATAAAATCAGAACTCAGCTACTTGGCACATTGCTGCTTTAGACCCCAAGGATCTAGTAAGTCCAGCTTGATAAAATAAATAAATGAAAGACTATATAGTTGCTTCTTTTTTAAAAGAGTAAAAAAGATGAAAAAGAAGAAATATTGAAGGCTTTCAAATTGTTTGATGATGATGATACTGGCAGTATAACACTAACCAGTATCAAGAGGGTTATTCAAACTAGGGGAAAATTTAACATGATGAACTTCGGGTAGATTTTGCTTATTTTTATAATTATAATTTATATGTAATTCTAACTTATGTGATAATTTAGGATTATAATTCTAATTCTAGTTGTACTTATACATTTAAAATAAAATTTGGTTTTGAATATGTGTTTGACTTCATTTATATCATTTTAAATGTATTTCATGTATTTACATTTTGTTTTACAGGAAATGCTTGATGAAGCTGATCATGATGGAGATGGAAAAATAAATGAGGAAGAATTTTCGAGAGTGATGAAAAAGACTACTCTTTATTAATAGTGTTGTTTTGGTCCTTGTGGAAAATTAACAAATTTGTATTTGTTATATAGTTTTGTACTTTAATATCTGAATGTATTCATTTTAAGTTTTTAGTTTATATGTACACATTGGCTTCTTGATGTCTAATCCATGTAAGAAGTTACACATCTCTACCAGTATGTTGTTAAATCTACAGCATCAAGAAACAAAACATAATGACTTCTTTGAACCATTAATGCAAGAACAGTATTAATTCTACCTGCTCTTTTGAGAACCCTAGGTCACAAGGAGTTAGAATTTTTAAGTTTGATGAAGTTGGCTTCATATCCAAATGAATTTGGCAAACAAACCCTGTATTTTCCTTTTGTGCAACTCAAAAAAACCTGATGAACATTTGCTTTTTAGTCAGTTACTCAAATACGTAAAGTATTAAATAGAACTGTCTGGAAACATTATTTGCTAATTTTCTTCTTTTAGTTGTAAAGAAAATTCAAAACAGCATTTACATCACCCATATTTCCCTGTAAGTTTGACCCTATAGTCAGCACTTAATACCTCTGTGTTAGGACAGGTGGTGTAGGGAGTTTATTTTATTTTATTTTATTTATATATTTTTTGAGACAGAGTCTCCCTCTGTCACCCAGGCTGAAGTACAGTGGTGCGATCTTGGCTCAATGCAACCTCTGCCTCCTGGGCTCAAGCAATTCTCCTGCCTCAGCCTCCCTAGTAGCTGGGACTACAGGCACCCGCCACCATGCCCAGCTAATGTTTTGCATTTTTAGTAGAGACAGGGTTTCACCGTGTTAGCCAGGATGGTCTCAATTTCCTGACCTCGTGGTCCACCTACCTTGGCCTCTCAAACTGCTGGGATTATAGGCGTGAGCCACCGCGCCTGGCCGAGATTTTATGTGTTATCTCAGTTAACATATTACAAGTTGGAAGCTGATTGTATTAGCCCCATTTTACATACAAGAAAACTAAAGTTCAGAGAAGTCTTAAACATTCCCCAATTGCCCATTGATAATAAATAAAACATGGATTCCAAATCTTAAGTTCTTATTCTTCATTATACTGCTTCCCTATGGATAAAACTTTCAAGATAACTGTATATTTTTAACTTATTTTCAATTCTGTGACTCTTCTAATTTCTTCCTTGTGAAAGGGCCAAACTGTTGGGAAATGGAATCCCATACATATAGTCTTTTAATTCCTACTCAGTTGTTTTGAGAGTGGGCCTTGGGCCTGGAACACTTCCTTTGAAGAGACTAAGAGTCCACAGGGTCTGTGCTGAACTTACCATCTTATATAGTAGTATCTTCCTCTGTTTCAGAGTCAATGTGTAGTCCTTTGCTCTGCTTAAGCATGTGCAGCCGTGTGCATCATATGGCATCTGACCAACCCCACTGCTCTGTCTCCTGTGGGGGAGGGGATGGGGGTCCTTCAGCACAAGAGGAGTGTGTGCAGGCCACCTACCCTGTGTCAGCTGCCAAGAGGGAGCCTCTGGTCAGGGGAGCCTGAAGTCCACTAGGGAAGCTGATCTTGCTCTGTCTCTTCTGTATGTGAGCAATGTGTGTTCCACTCGGTGTTTGACTGCATTGTTTTCCTTGGTGACTTTGAAACAAGATGCAGTGGACCGAAGTGCTCAGTCTTCTGCTCCTGACAAATAGGCAACAGATGCCACTTGCTGCACACAAACACCTTCTGATAACCAAATTGTCTTTGGAGCAAGAAAGGCTCATAGCAAATGTAACTGTAGTGATACTACCTGGCTCATTTTTAGCACAACTGAAATGAAAGCTGAAGGTTTTAATTTTGTCTTGTCAACACAAGAGACTTTATTTGATTGAAACTAGAATTGTATGTGCTCATGAGCATAAGTGTTTTCACAGTGTCTTTGATTTCTAATTATGTAACATTTCTTCTAGACCAGAGAAGAACTTGCCTATTAAAGGTGTTTCGTATGTGAAAATGTTAACCTTTAAAAGGTTAAAAGTATCCATGAACAAGTTCAAAAAGTTCTAAATAAAAGACTCCTTCCTATCGAAGCCCCAGATCTTCCTAAAGACAAGGATTTTTGCCACTTTTTAATGAGTCATTACAGAGAATGCATATTCATATGCACATGTATACAGAATAGTTTTTTCACAAATGATAGCATATTATACACACTGTGTATATTCATTTTTGCACAATATACTTGACAAATAGTTACATAACAATACATATAAAGTATCTGTATATTTCATTCTAATGGAATGGCCATATAATTCATTATATCAATTATTATATTTGACAGTCTTCTAAAGGTAGACAGTTTCCAACCTTTTGCTTAAATTAATACCCTTATACATATGTTTAATGTGGGAATACCTGTAGAATTAATTCTTACACATGAAGTGATTGAGTTAAAATCAATATGCATTTTAACTTAAATGTTTTTATTTTTGATAGATATTGCCTTCTAAAAAGATTTTTGCCAAATTACATTTCCAAAAATACTATATGAAAATGCCCAAAGTAATATCAAACTTTTTTGATTTCTGTTAATCTGGCAAGTTGCAAATCATACATTTTTCATGCTCATTTCTCTTATGAGAGGCATTGAGTGTTTTTTTTCACAAGTTTAGACTCTATTTGTCTTTTCCTTTTTGTATATTGTCTAACAACGTCCTTTGCCTATTTTTCCACTGGATTTTAAAATTTATTGGTTTGTGGCTGGGCAGAGTGGCTCACACCTGTAATTGCAGCACTTTGGGAGGCTGAGGTAGGCAGACCACGAGGTCAGGAGTTTGAGACCAGCCTGGCCAACATGGTGAAACCCCGTCTCTACCAAAAATACAAAGAAAAAGCTGGGCACGGTGGCAGGCACCTGTAATTCCAGCTACTTGGGAGGCTGAAGCAGGAGAATCTTTGAACCCAGGAGGCGGAGGTGGCAGTGAGCAGAGATTGCACCATTGTACTCCAGCCTGGGCAACAGAGCAAGACTCCGTCTCAAAAAAAAAATACTGGTTTGTAAGAGTATTTTATATACAAAAGAGATTAATCTTTATCTGTCATATATGTTGCAAGCATTGTACCATTTGTTATTTGCCTTTTGATTTGCATTGTGTTTCAGCCTTTACATTTTTTTTTTTTTTAATTTATTTCCATAGGTTTTGGGGGAACAGGTAGTATTTGGTTACATGAGTAAGCTCTTTAGTGAGATTTTGGTGCACCCATCACCTGAGCAGTATCACTGAACCCAATTTGTAGTTTTTTTATTTCTCACCCCCTCTCACACTTTTCCCTGAGTTCCCAAAGTCCATTGTATCATTCTTATTCCTTTGCATCCTCATAGCTTAGCTCCCAGTTATGAGTGAGAACATATGACATTTGGTTTTCTATTCCTGAGTTACTTCACTTAGAATAATAGTCTCCAGTTCCATCCAGGTTGCTGCAAATGCCATTAACTCATTCCTTTTTATGGCTATGTAGTATTCCATATTGTGTATATATATGACAATTTCCTTATCCACTTGTTGATTGATGGGTATTTGGGCTGGTTCCATGTTTTTGCACTGGCGAATTGTGCTGCTATAAACATGGATGTGCAAGTATCTTTTTTGTATGATGAATTCTTTTCCCCTGGGAAAAGTAGTGGAAGAACCAAATTCTGCCAACAACCATGTGAACAAGCTTTGAAACTGATATCTTCCCAGTTGACCTTTGAGATAGTACAACTCTAGTTGACACTTTGATTACAACAAGCGAGAGACCCTGAAGCAGAGGAACAAGTGAAGCCACTTGATCAAATGGTATGTCTACTTTCGGTTCTTTAAGGAATCTCCACACTTTTTTCCATAGTGGCTGTATTAGTTTACCTTCCCACCAGCAGTGTAGAAGTGGTCCCTGTTCAACGCATCCACATCAACATCTATTATTTTTTGATTTTTTGATTATGGTCATTCTTGCAGGAGTAAAGTGATGTCGCATTGTGGTTTTTTATTTGCATTTCCCTGATCATTAGTGATACTGAGCATTTTTTCATATGTTTGTTGGCCATTTGTATATCTTCTTTTGAGAATTGTCTATTTGTGTCCTTAGACCACTTTTGATGGCGTTGTTTTTTTTCTTGCTAATTTGTTTGAATTCCTTGTAGGTTCTGGATATTTGTCCTTTGTGTATAGATTGTGAAGATTTTCTCCCACTCTGTCAGTTGTCTGTTTACTGTGCTGACTATTCCTTTTGCTGTGCGGAAGCTCTTTAGTTTGATTAAGTCCCACCTATTTACCTTTTGTTTTTGTTGCATTTGCTTTTGGGTTCTTGGTCATGAAGTCTGCCTAAGCCATTGTCTAGAAGGGTATTTCTGACATCATCTTTTAGAATTTTTATAGTTGCAGGTTTTAGATTTAAGTCTTTGATCCATCTTGAGTTGATTTTTTTGTTTGTTTGTTTGTTTGAGATGGAGTCGTGCTCTGTCGCCAAGACTGGAGTGCAGTGGTGGGATCCTGGCTCACTGCAACCTCCGCTTCCCGGGCTTAAGTGATTCTCCTGCCTCAGCCTCCTGAGTAGCTGGGACAATAGGTGTGTGCCACCACACCCAGCTAAATTTTTGTATTTTTAATGGAGACAGGGTTTCACCATGTTGGCCAGGATTGTCTCAATCTCTTGACCTCGTGATCTGCCCACCTCGGCCTCCCAAAGTGCTGGGATTACAGGCGTGAGCCACTGCACACGTCCTTGAGTTGATTTTTATATAAAGTGAGAGATGAGGATTCAGTTTCATTCTCTTACATGTGGCTTGCCAATTATCCCAGCACCATTTGTTGATTAGGGTGTCCTTTCCCCACTTTATGTTTTTGTTTGCTTTAATGAAGATCAGTTGGCTGTAAGTATTTGGGTTTATTTCTGGGTTCTCTATTCTATTCCATTGGTCTATGTGCCTATTTTTATGCCAGTATCATGCTGTTGTGGTGACTATGGGCTTATAGTATAGTTTGAAATCCAGTAATGTGATGCCTCCAGATTTGTTTTTTTTTTTTTTTTTTTTACTTAACCTTGCTTTGGCTATGCAGGCTCTTTTTTGGTTCCATATGTATCTTAGGATTGTTTTTTCTAGTTGTGTGAAGAATGATGGTGGTATTTTGATGGCAATTACATTGAATGTGTAGATTACTTTTGGAAATATGATCATTTTCACAATATTGATTCTACCCAAGCCTCTGCATTTTAAGTTTACTTCATGAGATGATTTCTACAGATGTTTGTACTGTGTAATAGTAAAATGGCAATGCTTTGTCTTTTAACAGTATTTAGTCTCATAATGACCATATGACTCTTACCAGACTATGGCCTAATTCTAAGAGTAAAAAAAGAAAGGAGCTTTTTAAAAAAAAAAAAAAAAAAAAATCATGCCATTGAATTTTCCATTTGAAATAGAATCATCTTCACTTTTTAGTTGAGATGATCTAGATTTAAGCCCATACTGGAGTAAGGGAAAGTTTTGTAAGTTTTAGATCTATTTATTTAAATCTATCCCTCTGTGTTTTAGGGATAATTTCTTGTACACCCAATTAAAATGCCTCAAACCCTAAGAATGGCCCTGGGAATATTACTAGAACACAAAATTCAAAGACCAGGACAGAACTCTT